TTCCGTTTGTAACTCCTCGAAATTCTCATGTTAGACCCCACAAAGTATATATATTTTGGATCATCGTAAAATTCTAAGTCGATTTATCGATGTCCGTCTGTCTGTCTGTTGTAATTACGCTATCATTCGAACGAAATGAGATAGAAGGCTAAAATTTTGCACACATGTTTATTTTGTCAGTAGGCATGTTAAGTTCGTAAATGGGCCATGTCGGCCCACGTTTTCGTATAGCTCCCATATAACTGTACCTCCCAATATTCGGTATTTCGATGATTTAAGCTACATATTAACCGGAACTGTTCCAAATTCGTATATGAAGTTCGGAATAGGTTCTACAGCATATGACACAAATTGCACATTCAGGTCCACGGCTTCGTATAGCACCCATATAACGGTACATCCCGATATTCGGTATTTTGATGATTTTAGCGACATTATTAACCGGAACTGTTCCAAATTTCGTATTTGAAGTCCGAAATGGGTATTACAGCCTATGATAGAAAATTGCCTATGCTGGTCCCCGTTTCCGTATAGCCCCATACATCGGTACCTCCCGAATTTCGGTATTTTGAAAGTTTCTGCCACAATCAACATTGATAAACATAGTGGTTAAGGGTATAAATAGTTCGGCACGGCCGAAATTACTACTTACTGTCTTAACGATTTTCTTCATTTAAAACCTCACCTGCGCTTCTATGACTTTAAACAAATCAACATAGTGGACAACGAGAACCAGCAATAAAAAGAGGACACATAAGTACGTTAATAAAATATGGAACGCAAACCAAAAAAGTACTGTTCACTATAATAGAGTAAACTTATTTTACGCTGATCAAGAATATATATACTTTGTGGGGTCTAAAATGTATATTTCGAGGTGTTACAAACGGAATGACAAACTTAATATACCCTCCATACTATGTATGGTGGAGGGTATAATAATGCATATATAAGTGCATGGACTCCCGCAAACACAAAGACATAAATAAGACTTATGAGCAGAGCACCCGGTTTGTGATATTCTGGTCAGGAATTTAAATAAAGATTTTTTGGGTGTTAGACAGGTGGGTTTCCACTATTCAAGTGTAGCTCCAAATAATTTACATTATTTTTGTCCTATATGGGGTCGCAACTTTTCAGCGATGTACTCTATTTTCAACCAAAATTATTGGTCACCGAAAGTATATGGGAAATAACCATATGCATTTTTAAGAACAACACAACAGTGTTTTGTTTCTTTTAAGAACAATAATCCAAAATTTTTTATCACTGTTTATAACATAATTTGGATGTTGATAAATTGATCAAACACACATTAATACGCAAAAAGCAAAAAAGTTTGTACTCAAATCATGAATTTCAATAACTCTTGAAGACAAGCAGCATATGGGCACTCGTCATTTCCATGATTTTCTTCTTTTGATCCAATGATTTCAGGTACTCCAAGCGAAGTGTTTCTTAAATTCCGCACAATTGTAGGTAGTTTTTAAACATGAAAAAATCTGCAAAAGTAAAATGTTTAATAATTGTAAACGATGATCTACAAACGTGTACTTACACTTTCCATTGAATTTTGATGAACTGAGCTTCCTGGCATTTGATTTCATTTTACTCCTCAGGTAAGCAAGATTTTCATTGTGAGAAACACTGCAAATGGTCAATATTTTCCAAACATTATCCATTTACGTTGATTTTGTTCTAATGTTAAATAAATTATTGTATAGGGAACCCGAAATTGATTTTGTTCTTTGTTTTGCTATTTAATTCGATTTGAGTAACAGGGATATGGAAATATATTTTCGACATAAGGTGTGTCTGGTTACCCTAAAGTTTGTAACAATTGTTACAAATGTTACTGGAAGTCGTCTGTTAACCCGAAGTTCTGCAAAAGAGAGCGGTTGGAGAGAGAAATTTTGACAGTTCTTTCAGCTAGAGTTTGCAAATTCTTGCTGGAAAAATTTCTTCTTGCAATCTCTTGCAACTCTTCTTCTTCTCATTCATCGACATTCAATCAGATGTTTCTATTGTTTATTTACTTCTTTTTGTGATTTAGTTTTAAAATATTGTTTTGGAATAAGCAAGACTAATTGTTTTTGGAGAACAACTTTACAAAATGTGAAAAACGTAAATGTTAATATGTAATAAGAAAATAAAAGACTATTCCAACATTTTTATTTAAAAAACTTGTAAAATTAGTATTGGTTCCTTTGTTTTAATTCTCCTTATGGGGGACAAATTGGTTTGTTTTGATAAATCAGCTGATTAGTTGCAAGCTTCTGCAGGAATATCGTCTGTTTACTTTTCGCATTTTCCTTGCAAAGAGAAATAAACTACCTTACTCTCTCAGAAAGAAGTTGCTGGACAATTCTTGCTGGAAAAGTAACCAGACACACCTATAATGTAGCACGACCAATGACATCAACGATCACCGTTTGTATGTTTGATGCAGGGCCGCGGTTACATAATGTTGTGTCGAAAGTCGATACAATCTCAAAATCGAATCGATAAATAGCAAAAGAAGAGAACAAAATCAATTTATTGCTCCCTATACAATAATTTTATTTGAAAGGGGCGCGAAGTAATAAACAAAACATTGGAACAAAATATACGTAAATGGATAACGTTTGAAAAATATTGACCATTTACAGTGTTTTTCACAATGAAAATCTTGCTTACCTGAGGAGTAAAATAAAATCAAATGCCAGGAGGCCCAGTTCATCGAAATTCAAATGGAAAGTTTAAGTGCATGTTCGTTGATCATCGTTTGCAAATATTAAGCATTTTTCTTTTGCAGGTTTTTTATATTTGTTAAAAACTACCTACACCTTGTGCGGAATTTAAGGAACACTTCATTAATGTGTGTTTTGATCAATTTTTCAATAACATCCAAATTATGTTTTAAAAACAGTAATAATATTTTATGAATATTTATTAGTAAAATAAAACCAAAAATTTTTGTGTTGTTTTTAAAAATGTATATGGTTATTTCATCTATTCTTACGGTGACCAACATTTTTGGTTGAAAATAGAGTACATTTAGACATCGACTCAAAAGTTGTGACCCCATGTAGGACAAAAATAAATGTAAATTATTTGGAATAGTGGAAGCCTACCTGTCTGGCACGGATTTAAATTCCTGACCAGAATATCACAAACCTCTCTCTATGAGGTTTTGAATGTCGCGCCGTACGAACTCCGCGATAAGAGTCGGCCTATATATGGATCGTGTGCACTGATCATAAGAGTGAATGCACTTATATGTGCATTATTTTGTTTGATTGAATTTAGCCTTGCCTGGTCCCAATTACCCCAAATGCTGCTGTTATTAAAACTTAGTTCAACAAGTTTCCTTTTCTGCCTAAGTGTTAAAATCGAAACTTTAATAGAAAGTGTTTTTATACCCTCCGCCATACTATGGAGGGTATATTAAGTTTGTCATTCCGTTTGTAACTCCTCGAAATTCTCATGTTAGACCCCACAAAGTATATATATTTTGGATCATCGTAAAATTCTAAGTCGATTTATCGATGTCCGTCTGTCTGTCTGTTGTAATTACGCTATCATTCGAACGAAATGAGATAGAAGGCTAAATTTTGCACACATGTTTATTTTGTCAGTAGGCATGTTAAGTTCGTAAATGGGCCATGTCGGCCCACGTTTTCGTATAGCTCCCATATAACTGTACCTCCCAATATTCGGTAATTTCGATGATTTAAGCTACATATTAACCGGAACTGTTCCAAATTTCGTATATGAAGTTCGGAATAGGTTCTACAGCATATGACACAAAATTGCACATTCAGGTCCACGGCTTCGTATAGCACCCATATAACGGTACATCCCGATATTCGGTATTTTGATGATTTTAGCGACACTATTAACCGGAACTGTTCCAAATTTCGTATTTGAAGTCCGAAATGGGTATTACAGCCTATGATAGAAAATTGCCTATGCTGGTCCCCGTTTCCGTATAGCCCCCATACATCGGTACCTCCCGAATTTCGGTATTTTGAAAGTTTCTGCCACAATCAACATTGATAAACATAGTGGTTAAGGGTATAAATAGTTCGGCACGGCCGAAATTACTACTTACTGTCTTAACGATTTTCTTCATTTAAAACCTCACCTGCGCTTCTATGACTTTAAACAAATCAACATAGTGGACAACGAGAACCAGCAATAAAAAGAGGACACATAAAGTACGTTAATAAATATGGAACGCAAACCAAAAAAAGTACTGTTCACTATAATAGAGTAAACTTATGATGCAAGTAGGCTTTAATAATCCAAAATGTTTAATAAAAAAAGATACATAACTATTTTTCAATAATAAAAACGCTAACACTGCAATAAATGAAAAATTTTACCTATTTTCATCGTGTAATGTGATGTGTGCCGCTTTATATCTACTTAAACTATTTATACCCTACACCACATAGTGTTAGTTTGTAACATAGGAGAAGATACATAGGACTGTCCTTAAATGTCAGACTGTCTTTAAATACCAGAATTGCAGGCTACATTTTGAGTTTTTTTTTCTAAAATTTTCAAGCTGTCCCCCCTCTTCAACATTAACCGCCTGGGCCGCCCTTGTGTATAGAACTAAAATCATTTCAATCCAATGAATTGTATTAATTTTCAAATCTTTTAATAATCAATTTATGAAAATAAAAAGTCCGAACACCAAAATTGAATCAAAATCTAATTATTTTGAATTGAAGGAGCGCCAGACATTATTTAATCACACACGCATACAAAGGGTTCATCGACAGCAGCAGTTTGGCAGTAAATGTATGGGCCGCTTACAAAGCATACAAATATTGAAAACCAAAAAAAAAAACATGACAAAAAAGGGTTAATCATGGCAAATGATTCATAAACACTCACACACTTTTCATTACAATTTTCCCTTTACACACCAGGTAAGGAAGGTTTGCACGCTGAAATAAATTTTTAGATCAACAATATTTCATAATAATTATCTATTACCTCACCTTGAATATTCATCTACAATATTTTATTTACATTGCGCTCTCTTCTTTCAAGTGTATTGTTCGGAAAACTAAACATTGATTTTGATGAATTGATCATGTAACATCGGCTCTGTTGTCCAACAAAGAATAGCGCTTATCGCTGTCGATAATCGACTTGAATATCCCTAAACGCGAATAAAGTAACAAAAGCAATGATCGAAATAAAATTTTAGTTCCCTGAACAATACTTTCGAAAAAGGAGAACGCAAAGTAAACAAAATATTGTACGTGAATAGTTAAAGTGAGTTAGCGGATAATTATTAGAAAATATTGTTAATCAGAAATGTATTTCAACGCGTAAACCTTCCTAAACTACTGGGTGAAGGGAAATATATGCATAGATGGATATAAAAAGTGTATGTTAATGTTTATAAATTGTTTGCATTGATTAACCCATTTTTTTTGCCAGATTTTTTGGTTTTTTTTAAAATTGGTAATGCGGCTCATACATTTTACTGCCAAACTGCTGCTGCCGCTGAACATTTCGTGTGCGTGTATGATTAAATAATGTCTAGCGCTTCTTCAATCCAAAAATAATTAGATTTTGTTGGAAATTTTGATGTTCGGAATTTTTTCCAAACATAAAATTTGAAAATAAATACAATTCATTGGATTGGAGGGAATTCAGTTTTATAAATTGTTTTGATCTCTATCCTGCTTGAAAACTCACACATTAGTCATGTTTATGTTGGAGAATTTTCAAATAAAAAATCATAAAGGATGTTATTCTGAGGAGTTTGGCTTATCTCTATTTTAGTAAAAACTCTAGAATTTTTTTGCAGTGGTTGAAATTGTTGTCCTGATCACAGGAAAGTACTTTTTTCGTGGGAAACGGCCTGGCTTTCCGGAACCGATAACTACAATATGGGTATCGTTGGAAAGCTTATTTTGAACAAGTAGTAACATGGCGGTATTATTTCTATCGCTTTAGGAGATATTTCCAAAATACCTGTTTTCAAAATGGGTTTTTTTGTAAAACACTACCCATTATGGGGTTTCGCAATATTGGTACCAAATTAAATCGTACCTTTTAACCTTTCCAAAATGGTATAACATAAAATATGGCCAAAGGTCGGCCAACTTAAAAATGTAATGAATATAGATATACTTTGGATCCCGTAGCCTGTGTTGGAAATACCCCAGAGGAGAAAATCTCAAGTCACGGCCGAAGGCCTGCCACCTAAAAAGATATTGAATAGGACTGTTTCCGTCGAAAAATGAAGCTGAAATCTTTAAAATACCAACAATCGGGTGGTATTGTTGTGTGGGGGATATATCAAAGAGTGGACCGATATAAGCCATTTTCGAACTAAAACTAAGTTTGGTCAAAAAACTACTGTGAGCCGAATTTGGGCCAGATCTGGGGCTCCGTTTGAGAGTTGTCGAGCTCACCAGCCAGCCAGACAGACGGACGGACATTGCTAAAGCGACTCCAAATTGTCTGAAACGGGTTTACTCTTAACACGTGTGGGGTCTAACACTATTATTTCGAATTGGGACATTTTCATCGTATGAGGGGATAAAAACGAAAAGAGTTAAATGTCTTTTGGGAGCTCCAGCTTTGATCGGGCTGAAATTTTTGCCATAGTTAGTCCTCAGCTTCCTGACCACAACGACATACATATTTTCGAGGGGAAGTCCATACTTCCCGAGAAATGGGCCTTGACTTTTCGGAAAATCACCATTATTACTGCTATAACAATATGCATATCATTTTAAAGCTCACGAAGAGTACTTTATAATGCGGACAATATAGAAGAGTTAATAATAGTGATATATATCAAAAAGTCAGGATACAGTTCTCGGGAAGTATGGACTTCCCCCAGAAATATCAATATCGTTGTGATCAGGAAGCCAAGGACTTACTATGGTAAAAATATCAGCCCGATCCGAGAGGAGCCCATTATAAACCCAAAGGTACTATTGTAGGAAATTTCCTAAAAGTCAAGACCCATATCCCGGGAAGTATAGACTTCCCCCGGGAAACCTATATATTGTTGTGATCATGGTCCCGGAGACTACCCCACCTCCAATCTTACTCCATCTTTTATAATAAATAATTTGTTTCTTATGCTTAATTAACTGTGCAGTTACTTACATTTTAATACTTCTTCAGCAGACGCACCGATTTCTATAAAACCTCCTGGTTTTCTTCTTTTTATAAGAGAGGGAAGACACACTTGCTCTTCAAAACGTCTTTTTTTAATTCTGCAGCAACTTTATTTTAAATTTTTTCTTTTATTTTTATAATTGGAAATTGCGCTATAAACTGTAAAAACCACTCCGATTTATTTCACACAGTAACAACGAATGACGCGCTTTTGAAAAACTTGCATAATATGGCTTCACGCAACATTAAACTACAACACTGTTGCCTATGAAAAATATCAACAGAGATGTATTTTTCATGCCGAAACCTTCGGTCCGAAATCGACTCGATTTAAAGAAATCATGATATAAGCCCCAATGTTTTCCCCTTTAGCAGAAGGAACCAAGTAAAATGAATCTCATGTCAACTTTGAAAAGATAAAAATCTTAAAATATGTGAAAATCTAACAACATTAAAAAAATTTAAAGATGTATGCATATATCCTGTGTGGATTTATAAATATTTTGTAGCTTTGTTCCAGTACTGCAAGAAGTTACTAATTTTTTTATTTTTCTCGATAACATAAAGGAATTGTATCTTAGTAAAAATTTTAGATTCTTGCAAACAAAAATTAAGAGAGAATGAACTAGGTAACTATGAATTACATATAGCGTCGTATGAATGGGTTTATTCGTGTACCCGCTTTACTTTTTGTGTTCTATGAGTTCATAAAATCGAGTCGATTTTGCACCGCAAGTATAAACGCGCCTAATTTACTTTCTTTTGTTTCTGGATTTTTACGCAAATTTCAGCAAATTGACAACATAAGAAAATAGTGTATACTTTCATTTTCAGGCATACCAAATACTTTAAATCATAAATAAAATGAAATCGTTTGGTATGCAAATATAATAGTCCATTTATATTGAAGTTCTTTATCAGGACTTAGCGCATTATCGGGTTTTATTTTCTTAATTTCATCAAAATCAGCCAGATTTGTCATACAAAATGAATCTTTACTTATTTTAAAACCGGCACAAATCCTCAAATGCAACACTGTTTTTTAAACATAAATCTGAACACTTCCAAAAAATCAAAAGTAACACTTCATATGAGTTAACGTTATATTTTGCATTTTGAGTTATCACAAAGAAAATACTAATTTTGCAGTAATAGTACGTTAACACTAACTGGGTCAAGGTTAAACTTGTCAAATCATTTGCATACACGTCAAATAAACCGACATGAAGAAAGTTAAACTACAAAACCTCATGTGAAAAAATAAGCAAAATAAGGAAATAAAGTAGCAATGATTCCTACAGAAATCAAATAATGCGTATTCAAATGTTGAGATATGCTCTGTCTTAAAACTACAGGGTAGTATACCCTATTGTAGACTTATTTTTGCCGATAACATAAAGAAAAAAATGTTATTTTCAGATTCTGGAACATATCAAAAATTTAAGGATTTGTTGCTTAAACATCATAAACGTTATCTAATTCTGCGATATTTGTACGGGATTTTTTAAAATCTAGTGGAGATTTTATTCCGTATAACTGAGCTATAAATCCTAAAAAAGATCCAAAGTTTGGTTTTGTCTTCGGCAAAAAATACAACACTGTTGACACTTTTGCATGCAGTGTTGTAAAACCTTTAGCATATTTTGATGTCATAAGTGACAACAGTGTTGTATTTCCACGTCGTGGTCGGAACGTAACGGAAGAATGTGATAACTTGTTATTGTAGTAAACATTTGTGGGTTTTTGCACATTCTAGTACATAGCAATTGCAAGTCCAAATCTACATTAGTTTATCGGTGAGAGAGTTTATAGTACGTTTACAACTGACTGGGTTAAGCCACTGAATTAAGGTTTAAAAAATAAACCCAAATTGGGGTGGTTAACCTCTGTCTCCATCCAATTGACAATTGGAGGTAAAAAAACTTGTTTGAGTTATTAGACTAATCTTCACAAATTTTCCACAGTCGCACTTTGGTTGGCTTTCGCTTTGTTTTTTATGATTAAATTAGTCCGAAGCTTATTCCGTAATATTTAAACGACTACACTCAATATGTATATTTCATAAATTTCATGTGATTTTTCTGTGATTATTGCAAAAAACAAAATAAAACTAGTAAGCAAAGGCTACAGTCGGGCGGGGCCGACCGTATAATACCCTACAACACTATAATAAGCCATACAGTTTATATAGGAATGATACTCGAACGCATCTTCAAGATAGAGTGATAAATAATTTTTCGTGTAGTAGGCTTTAATCTATTTTTTATATCCAATTTAAAAATTGATGTTGGACTCAAATGCTGCTCGTTTCGAATTATCCTATATCTAGAAAATGGCAAAAGTAAAACATTATTGTTTTTTTAACCGAAACCATGTGGACATGCTCATTTTCGTAGCATTAACCCATATTTACCCCCTCTGTATCTCCAAATATAGACTCTTCTACATGATTTGCTTTTCTTTCAACGAAATCTGCATAAAATGCCAGAAGTTCGTCTTTTGTATATTTGTAATTCCGCCTGGAAGTTATTTTCAGGATTTCGGTAAAATGAAAATGTTCGTATTTTTCGCACAAAAATAGTCGTCCATTCTACCCGCTGTCCTGAACTCTAACCTGATGCGATATTTCGTGTTCTTTGGTCTCTTATTGTGCCCTTTTTAACGGCTGCAAAATCAGAAAAATTTTTAGTTGCTGGCCCATTTCAGCCACTAAATATATTGCGGAAATCTTCAATAACAATAGGCCTAACATTTTTGAGCCTAACCCTACCCTCGTGAAAATTTTCGTGAAGATCGGACGATAATTACAATCTGTATATTATAATCCCAACCTGTGTTGCAAGGTAAAAAAATATTAGAAAATGTATACTTCAATATTGTAAGTCAAAATGAGAAAATCACATGCGATAAAAAATATGAAAAAAATAAAAAAATATCACAAAATATTACAAAATATTACAAAATGCATATTATCGTCATTATTGACATCTTTTTATGCGAAACAACAAAAAAAAACATTGACAAGATTTGTCAAAATCTGTCCAGCCATTCTTGAGATATAAGCGCTCAAACTAACATCCATTTCCATTTTATATATAAATTCTACATATTTCGCTATATATACCTGATATCATTACTATCAACATCTATGTAACGGTCAGAATTGACCTTCTCGTCTATTTGTGATTTTGCCGGGACTAAAATATTCGCGGTTTATTGAAAAATTTGATTTTTTCAACACAAAATTCGGGGTCTATTTCACCCGCTAAATATTATCCGATGTCCACCAAAATTAAAAGATTTCTGGCCAATGCTAAGCTCTAGCCCCATGCTAAATTTCGCTTGGTCTATAATTGCGACCTGTATAGCCACTTCAAAATCAGACATTTTTTCAGTATTTGGTCCATTTCAACCCCTAAACATGTGGCGATCATCTCCAAAAACAATAGGCTTCTATTCTGACCCTAACCTCACCTTCGTGCAAAATTTCGTGAGGATCGGACCATAATTGCGACCTGTAGCGTGAATACAAATTAACATGGACAGACGGACAGACGGACGGACGTACATACATAGCTAGATCGACTCAGCTTGGCGAGCTAGGAAGATCCATATA